TATCAAGTTGTGCTTCAAATTCCTCCGCTAAACGTTCTACGTCAGGTAGAGGGCCACTTGCGCTTTGGCAAAATTTAACGTAGTTAAAATGCGCATAAACAATTAAATAAAACTATTGCCAACACCTGCCAGTACTACGGTCCAATGATATTCCTCTTCACTTATTAGTGAGCTTAAGAAGTGTTGTTCGTCCAACCTGCCACCTCTAACCTTTAAATAAATGCAAAACATGTTGCAAATTTAGGTAGAATTTGATTTTCGATGATCTAATTGCGCACAATAGAGAACGAAGATGACAACAAAAATAACTGAGCAAATTGCACCAAATTTGTTCAAATTAGTAACTAAGATTTTGAAAAAATAAATATAGATTTAAGAAGTATCTATACATTGGCGACAAGGAACTTGGATTATAGCACAACTCTAAACAAATCACCACAAACGGTGTTACCAGAAATGAATCCTAGAATGATGTATTTATAGCAGTTGAGATAGAGACATTTTAGGATATGGAATTCGTATTAAACCAAGAGAATCCCAAAGGGTATCTAGGAGTAGATGTTGCATCATTTTAGGAGTATGATTACTTGTGGTGCACGTCAATCCTTAGATTGTAAGGATTCCATGAATATAGGAAAATTGGTTGATTCCTTACTGGATCATATTTTCGTACCTTGTGGAATAAGCATGGTCAATCTCAGCGAAGCTATTAGACTTCACACACTACTCCAGAATAAGATGATGGTGGCATCATTGCTCCGTTTGTGTAGCTTTGTTGCGGAATCTGTTGAGTTCATGACCGAACTTCTAAGGTATTCGTATTCCAATCTACCTTAATTATTTTGCCCTGAAAAATCATGGTCCTACATTTTAGTTCTTCCAATTATAAGTAAATTTAAATGAGAAAACATTAGTGACACATGAAAAATATGAAATACATAAGTGTACAAAAATGAATGTACCAAAATATATTAAATTGACTTGTTTATACCGAAATGTTTGTATTTAAATATTTGTACCAAAATATGTTATAATGAATTAGCGTACCTAAATGTTTGTACTGAACTGTATTATAGTGAATTTATGTACCTAAACATTTATACCGAAATTTATTTGTGATAAGTTAATGTACCTAAATATGTGTACTGTAATATTTTATAATGAATTAGAGTAGACTTAGAAAAAAAAAAATCATGAAATTACCAAAAAAAATGACATGGAATAACAATGCTAACATTAAATAAAACCAAGGGACTAAACTCAATTTTGAATTTTGTAACCTACATTAATCTAAACTTCATCGTATTTAAAAGATTAATATATAATTTTCTATAAATTAAAGGAATCTCTTTTCTATAAATTTATTATGTTTTCTTACCATAGGATTGAACAAGGTCGGTGTAACGAAGAATAATGCTCATAACTACAACACGAGTTACATTTTGGTGCCTAAACTTAAATAATAATTACTCCCGTCCTGAAATTCAACTTAAATTACACCATTGGTCCTTTCCAATTTTGTTAACCTTTTTCAGTTCGTCTAGATTGGGAAGGCAATGGAGTTGTGAACGAACGACCAAACCGACATTGACATAGCCAAAGTGGTCTTATGATCACTAGTAGAAAAACATGTTTGCGCGACAGAAATTTGCGCGATGTAGGAAATTTCGTAGCGCAAAGTATGTTTGCGCGACGCTAAACATAAAACGTTGCGCAAAGTATGTTTTGCGCGACGAAGGTGCACTTACGTCGCGCAAATCAGCTTTGCGTGACGCATTCCTTCGTCGTGCAAAGTGCCGTCGCACAAAGCTAATTTGCGCGACATTGACTACGTCGCGCAAATTGTTTTTTTTTTTTTTTTCCTTTTGCTTTTCTTTTGGGGTTCTTGCATTGCCTTTTTCTTTTGTGGTATCCACTTATGTAAATGTTTTAAATTGACGATCAAATTAGTTCATTGTATTCATATAGGGTTAATGAGTGTAGCTCTAAAAAATCATCAAAATCGGAGTTAAAACTACCATTAAATCGTGTTTTTTCATTTATAACCGTCGAAAAGTTTTGTCCCGTTACTTGATCTCTGAATGTTTGTTTTTTGCGATTTTTGGTGTACGCGATCTCGAAGCATGTACAAATAAGTTTGACGGTTGGATCGTTGAAACTAGTTTCGTACAATGCATTTCCCATCAAAACAATGCATTTACTATCACTTAGAGTTTACTTATACTTTCATCAAGTATAACATAAGATTTTGTGGTATCCAATAGTGTAAATATTTTAAATTGAAGATCGAATTAGTTCATTGTATTCATATAGGGTCAAGGAGTGTCGCTCTAAAAAATCATCAAAATCAGAGTTAAAACTACCGTTAAATCGTGCTTTTTCGTTTATAACCGTCGAAAAGGTTTGTCCCGTTACTTGATCTCTGAATGTATATATATACGAACAAGTTTGAATCGTGCTTTTTGGCGTACGTGATCTCGAAGCATATACGAACAAGTTTAACGGTTGGCTCGTTGAAACTAATTTCGTATAATGCGTTTCCCATCAAGTTCAATGGTATATATATTTAGTAAGTACATTTTAATTTATTTATTTTGTACTCATAAGCAAAAGGGCAAAAGAAAAGCAAAAGGAAAAAAAAAAAAAACACTTTGCGCGACGGATGTACACATGCGTCGCGCAAAACAGCTTTGCGCAACGCAGGTGGACCTACGTCGCGCAAAGTGGTTTTTTTTTTCTTTTGCTTTTCTTTTGGGGTTCTTGTAATGCCTTTTTCTTTTGTGGTATCCACTTGTGTAAATGTTTTAAATTGACGATCAAATTACTTCATTGTATTCATATAGGATTAAGGAGTGTAGCTCTAAAAAATCATCAAAATCGGAGTTAAAACTACCGTTAAATCGTGCTTTTTCATTTATAACCGTCTAAAAGTTTTGTCCCGTTACTTGATCTCTGAATGTTTGTTTTTTGCGATTTTTGGCGTACGCAATCTCGAAGCATGTACATATACGTTTGACGGTTGGATTGTTGAAACTAGTTTCATACAATACATTTCCCATCAAAACATTACATTCACTATCACTTAGAGTTTATTTATACTTTCATCAAGTATAACATAATATTTTGTGGTATCCACTAGTGTAAATATTTTAAAATTGAAGATCGAATTAGTTCATTGTATTCATATAGGGTCAAGGAGTGTAGCTGTAAAAAATCATCAAAATCGGAGTTAAAACTACCGTTAAATCGTGCGTTTTTGTTTATAACCGTCGAAAAGGTTTGTTCCGTTACTTGGTATCTGAATGTTTGTTTTTCTCAATTTTTGGCGTATGCGATCTCGGAATATATACAAACAAGTTTGACGGTTGGATCGTTGAAATTAGTTTCGTACAATGCGTATCCCATCAAAACGATAGATTCCCTAACACTTAGAGTTTATTTATACTATCATTAAGTTTAACATAACACTTTGTGGTATCCGCTTATGTAAATATTTTAAATTGAGAATCAAATCGGTTCGTTGTATTCATATAGGCTCAAGGAGTGTAGCTGTAAAAAATCATCAAAATCGGAGTTAAAATAACCGTTAAATCGTGATTTTTCGTTTATAACTGTCGAAAGGTTTTGTCTCGTTACTTGATCTTTGGATGTTTGTTTTTTTCCAATTTTTGGCGTATGCGATCTCGGAATATATACAAACAAGTTTGATGGTTGGATCGTTGAAATTAGTTTCGTAGAATGCGTATTTCATCAAAACGATAGATTTCCTAACACTTGGAGTTTATTTATACTATCATTAAGTTTAACGTAACATTTTGTGGTATCCGCTTGTGTAAATATTTTAAATTGACAATCGAATTGGTTCGTTGTATTCATATAGGCTCAATGAGTGTAGTTGTAAAAAGTCATCAAATTGGAGTTAAAATAACCGTTAAATCGTGATTTTTCGTTTATAACCGTCGAAAGGTTTTGTCCTGTTACTTGATATTTGGATGTTTGTTTTTTCCAATTTTTGGCGTATGTGATCTCGGAATATATACAAACAATTTTAACGGTTGGATCGTTGAAATTAATTTCGTACAATGCGTATTCCATCAAGTTCAAAGGTATATATATTTATTAAGTAAATTTTCAGTAAAATTTATATTTTAAAAAAAATAAATAAATAAAAAAACCTTGTGCGACGTCGAAATGTATACCTGTGTTGCGCATTTGTCATTATTTTGGCGGGGCAATTGTAAAAAATAGGCGTTTTTTTAAAAAAATTTCCCAAATTTTCCAAACCAAAAGCCTTCCGCTCTCTCATCTCTCTCACTCGGTCTCTCTTCCCAAACCAAACCCAAATCTTTCTCCTAACTCCAGCCGACTATCCTCCTCAGCCAATTCCACCCGAGTACCAGAATCACTCTCAGACTCTTAGTCCCTCGACTCCCTTCCCTCGACTCTCCAACTCTCAATCGTCCTCCTCCTCGTAGTGCTCACCAGCCATCACCGCCGTCGACCAACACAACGGCACCATCCATCATCCTTCTCGACGACATCCCAGAGAACCCAGGCCATCACCCCATCACCCCCGCCGTCGATTCTCTCCTCTTCGACAACACCCCCCGCCGTCATCCCTCTAAAATTTAGGTAATTTTGATTTAAGGTTTTGTTATTAATGTGAATTTCTGGTGTAGGGATTTTAGGGTTTTTAAATTAGAATTTGTAGATTGATGATTGTTCTGTTGCCACCATTTAGGGTTTTCCTAAAATTTGAATTGCATTTGTAGATTGATGATTGATGGCTGGTGTTATGTATGTTTATAGATGATTGGTTGAAATATCATGCGATCATTTTTCCATTTGTCGTTTGGCCCAATTTCATTTGTCAACATCATGATTTCAATTCCACAATTTCCATCCGAGCCTTTTCTTTTCTTTGCTACTATATTAAATGAAATGATACGGTTGATACCGTCCAACCACCGTTTCATTTTTCTGCATTTGAGTTATGAGTTGTATGAATCTAAGAATTATTTAAAGTCAAAACTAATGAACTTGACTTAGTAGCCGTAAATCATAGTTAACTACATCCTATGACTTTTGAACCGAGTTGAGATTTCCATAACCAAAGGCATTTTAGACTGGTTGTTACCTACTGTTGTCAAATAGTAAAGGTAGTTATAATGCTACTGGGAATTTCAGGACCTCAGCAAGTTCTATATTGTTTTTCCATGTTAGTGAATGCTCTTGATTCTTCATCTCCTAGGCTGTTGTATTCATATGACTATGTAGGTCGTGTAGCGGATAATTGATTGAATTGGATGATTGTTAGTTCTGAATCTGCTTTATATGCTGCAACTGAGAGTGATATCATTGTTGGTGTGAAAGTCAGTCGAAATGCCACAACTGAAAGTGATTTCATTGTTGGTATGATGGACACTGGAATTTGGCCTGAAGGTGAGAGCTTTAAAGATGAAGGTTTTGGTCCTCCTCCTAAGAAGTGGAAAGGTGTTTGTGAAGGCGGCAAAAATTTCACCTGCAACAAGTATGTCTCTCAATATTTACATGCATAAAGTTATCAATTATACGAATTAAAACTTTTGGTTGAGTTTATTCATTTCAAAATTTCATAATTAAACTACTTTTGTAATGGTTTTGCCTTTGTACTTTGCAACATCTAGTCAACATCAAGAAATGTTTGTTTTGCAGAAAGATCGTTGGTGCTCGATATTACTTAACAGACTCTGCAAGGGATTTCTGGGGTCATGGAACTCACTGTGCATCAATTGTAGCCAGGAGTCCTGTAAAGGATGTAAGCTTTTACGGACTAGCAAATGGTACTACAAGAGGAGGTGTACCTGTTGCGAGAATCACAGCATATAAAGTCTGTGATCTTGATTTCGGGTGTAGTTCAGACAGTATCATGGCTGCTTTTGACGATGCAATTGCTGATGAAGTTGACATCATTTCAATTTCACTTAATGGATTTTTTCGTTCTGAGCCTCATTTTTATATTGACCCGATTGCAATTGGTGCCTTTCATGCCATGAAGAAAGGGATACTAACTTCACAGTCTGCCGGAACCATATTTAATAGTTATAAGGTTGGTCCTGTGTCAAGTGTAGCACCATGGATATTCACAGTTGCAGCTAGTACCACAGATCGCCGGATTATTGACAGCACTGTTCTTGCAATTGGAAAGAAACTAGTCGTATGTCTCATCCACTTCCTTTTTCAACAAAATAAAAACATTTTATGAATACTTGTATATACTGTGGCTCAGATTGTTTTCATTTCAATACTTTTTAATGTTCTTATCACAAACAGGGGCACTTTACGAACACGTTCACATTAAATGGAACAAATTTTCCTCTCATATATGGAAAAGATGCTTCAAGAACAAAATGCTCTCAAAGCTAGCTTGGTAATTCTTGTCCCTGTTTCACTTTTACTGCATACAATATAAAGGAATAAAAATGAAACTATAGTACTGACTTCTTGTTGCATTTTAGTATATGTTGGGAAGGTTGCCTGGACCCTGATTTAGTTAAGGGAAAGATAGTTGTATGTGAGAAGAACACTAGATTTCCTGGGGCTTACAGATCTGGGGCAGTTGGGATAATTTTTGTTAATTTTATGAACAAAACTTTTTCTCAAGTTCTCCCATTTCCTGGGGTGAATTTAATCACAGAAGAGCTAAATGTGGTCAAGTCCTACATGAACTCCACCAGGTATAGATTCATTTGAATACTGTTAAGGTTGGCGATTTTCGATCACGTTGCTTTTTAAATTCTTGAAAGCCTCTCTTATTTTACAGGGTCCCTCAAGCGACGATATTACAAAGTGAAGTCATAAAAGATGTTGATGCGCCTCTTGTTTCTATCACGTCTGCGACTGGACCAAATTTAGTTGACTATGTTCTGAATTTGATGATTCTTCATCTCCTAGACTGTTGTATTCATTTGACTATGTAGGTCCAGGACGAGGAGATGAGGACCTATACCGGGACGGTGAGAGACTTTGTACGAGCTATGTCTAGCCTCCAAATCTCACTACTAGCACTTAATTTTGCTCCACCTTCGACCTCAGAGCTACCTCGCCTTGTCGATACCCAGTAGCTTGACATATCAAACCTAGAAGACTACTTGTAGTTTTTTCTTTTTTGTTCGAACATCTTGTACGTACATTTTCATATATTTTATAATTAAATACTTTTGCTTGGTTAATTCATTATTGTTTAGAATTTAATTACAATATTTATTAAAAATTAAAAAAAAAATATTTTTGATGAAAACAAAAAAAAGGGATTTGCGCTACGTCGTGCAAAGCCACGAAGTCACTTTGCACGACGCATGACTACGTCGTGCAAAGACACCTATGCCACTTTGCGCGACGCATGTAACCCCTTCGTCGTGCAAAGCCTTATGTCACTGCCTTGCCGCGACGGTTTGCGCGCGACGAAGGTTCGTTGAGCAAAGTTTTGCGCGACGTTTTTTGACTTTGTGCGACGAAGAACCTGCGTCGCGCAAAGTGTTTTTTTTACTAGTGGATGAAGACTAAGCTGGCATGCTGCTACCTTCCCTACGCCATGGCAGGCCAAAAACAGGTTAATCCCAAATTTCTAACCCCCAACCCACCATCGTATCGTGTCAACGTGGCTTGACCCCACCTGGTTGACTGAATAAATCCTAGTAAGTTTCTTCTACCAATGTTAAACACCGCAATCTTTTTGCAGCAATGGAAACACCACCATGCTCCAAGGAACCAATCCCCTCCCACCTGCCAGCTATTGGATATGTAAGACACCTAAGCAATTGCCACATCAGCAAGTGCTTAGTGTGAGGGTTGATTTTAACAGAGTGTAGTATAAAAGACTTTTTCCTCTCTCATTGCAACCGACTTTGTAAAAACAATTTCTGAGAAATATAAAAGCTTGGGTTTTCGTCTTCATCAAGTTTCTTCATCTTTAGCTTTGATTTTGATTCTTTGGTGTTAATATGGTATCAGAGCCAATTTTTGCTTGCGCAATAGGTTCTGGACTTCCGCTGCTCCGGTTTGTCGATATGTTGTTCTTGTTCGCAGTTCATTTCACAAGTTAATCGAAATTCTGATTTGGGTATTTTCTTGATTTCTTGCCTCTTGTTTCTACTTGGATTGTGCTATAATCTTGATATAGGTATTTTCTGTTCTACTGAAGGCCGATGCCAAGAACAGTATTTTGTTGTTAATCTGTGATAATTTTTTAGTCGAATCTTGATATGCTCATGTGAAAGGCTGATGCCATTATTCTTGACTTCTTGATGAACCAAGGTCAATAACCATATTGTTCATCTTGATTTTCTCTTGTTGAGTGTTGATTCTGAATTTTTCATCTGGGTTATTTCATCCTTGTGTTCACGGTATTTTTCTCATTTGGGTTGTATTGTTGGAGATATCTTGGTGTAATCATGTTGGATTCGATTAAGCTTGAGAATCTTTTGGGCATGTTGACTATTAAATTGAATGATGACAACTTCATCAAATGGAATTTCCAGTTTTGTTCTGTTCTTCGTGGGTATGATTTGTTTGATCATTTCACTGGTGATTCTGTGTGTCCTCCAAAGTATGTGATTAAGGCTGAGTCTGGTGTTACTAAAGAAGTTAATGCTGCTTACAAATCTTGGATAGATATGGCATTGTTAAGTCTTCTTCTTGCTACTCTTAGTGATGATGCAATAGAACATGTTGTGGGTTGTAAGACCTCTTATGAGGCATGGACTGCTCTGTAAGACAGGTATATGTCTGTGTCTAGTGCAAGTGTTAATCATCTTAAAGCAAAATTACATACCATTAAAAAGGGTAGTGATAATGTTGACAAGTATCTGTTGAGACTTAAAGTCATTAAAGATAAGTTGCATGCTGTTGGTGAAAATATTTCTGACAATGACATTATTATAGCAACTTTGACAAGTCTTCCAGTTGATTTTGATATGATTAGGACATTTATACTTGCTAGGGATTCACCTATGACATTATTATAGCAGCTTTGACAGGTCTTCCAGCTTGTCAAACATATTGGCATTGGCACATTACATAATAATTCTCATACTCTGTATCTTAAAAATATTTTGCATGTTCCGATGTTACAAGTTAATCTACTCTCTGTGAAGCAACTATGCAAGGACAATAATAGTTGGTTCATCTGTGATGATCTTCAATTCTTTGTGCAGGACAAGGCAACAGGGGTGGTTCTTTATCAAGGAAAGAGTAGCAATGATGAGCTGTTTCGAATACATATACACGTGTTTCCAAAGTTGTTGAATCAAGGTGTTTTTTCTACCACTGCTCTATTGGGAAAGGTTGTTAAATCCTCATTGTGGCATCTCAGATTGGGGCATCCATCTAATTAGATTTTAGAAGCTATGCTTAGAAATTCTAATATTCCTACTACTAGTGATGTACATACTCACACTTGCAGACATTGTCTTAGTGGGAAGATGAGTAGACTTTCATTTCCTGAAAAGATAGATAGGGTTGAAGTACCTTTTCACAAAATTCATAGTGATGTTTGGGGTCCTTCAATGATTGTATCACTTGAGGGATTCAGATACTACGTGTCTTTTGTTGATGAAGCTACCAAATTTGTATGGATTTTCCCTTTAATGAATAAATCAGAAGTTTTTGCTGCATTTGTCAGGTTTTCTGCCTATGTTGTCAATCAGTTTAATACACAAATTAAAGTTTTGCAGTCTGATGGTGGTGGTGAATTTTTGAACAATAAATTTAAGGATTATCTTGCAACCAATTGTATAGTACATTATGTTTCTTGTCCTTACACACCATAACAAAATGGATTAGTGGAAGGAAACATAGACATGTCGTGGAGACTGCATTAAGTATGTTGTCAGCTGCCTCTTTACCACATAAGTTTTGGTACCATGCTGTTGCACATGCAGTATTTTTAATCAATAGGATGCCTACCAAGATTCTTGGGATGGATTCACCTTTTGAGAGGCTTTTTCATACAAAACCTGATATATCTTCTTTGAAAGTCTTTGGTTTAGCCTTATATCCCTATCTTAGGCCCTACAATGATCACAAACTTCAATCAAGAACTAGCCAATGTGTGTTTTTGGGGTTTACTTTTGGATACAAAGTTGCTATTTGTTACAATATTGCCATAGAAAAATTGTTAATGTCCAGGCATGTGATTCATGATGAAAAATGTTTTCCTTTTGCTGCTTTGAGGTCTACTTCTATGTCTCAATGTTCAAAAGTTGTTTCATCTCCTAGTTATTCTACACGACCAGTTGTGGTTCATTTGCCTGCAGCTTCTGCACCAATAGTCTCATCTCACTTTGGTATTTAGTCTCAAGATGACTCGCTTAATCATGTTTCCCAAGTTTCTTCATCCATGAGCAGTTCATCACATTCTCCTAGTTCACAGAATTTTGTACATGATTCTATTATAGTGGCTCCATCTTCCAGTTCAAATGCTACTCTTTCCCACCCATCTTCAGTGTTGCTTGTCCCATCCCCTCAACAATTACAGGTTGTATTGCCTCTAATTAAGTCATCTTGATCTCATGATTTCTTGTCCACTGATGTTCCACATGGTATTCAAACCAGGCTTAGAATTGGTGCTATTACGACGAAAGATTATGTTGCCTTTACAACCATTTTTCCTGAAGTTCAATCTTTAATAACACATGAGAGTGACCAATTCTCTAGAGGGTTCACTTTTCTTGCAGATATTAAGGATTCTTCAGAGCCTTCTACATATAAAGTAGCTTCTCAGCTCCCTCAATGGCAGAAGGCTATGCAAGAAGAGTACGATGCTCTTCAAACCCAAGGTACATGGATCCTTGTACAGTCACCTCCAAATCAAAATGTCATAGGATGTAAGTGGGTATATAAATTGAAAAGAAACCCTGATGGTACTATTTCTAGACATAAAGCTAGATTAGTAGCCTAAGGGTTTAGTCAAGAAAAAGGTGTGGATTGCACAGAGACATTTAGTCCTGTAGTTAGACACAATACCGTGGGAATGATTTTGGCTTTGGTTGCAACACCCAAGTGGTCTCTTAGACAACTTGATGTTAAAAATGCATTTTTACATGGTGAGTTACATGAGGAGGTCTATATGAAACAACCTCAAGGCTTCATTGATTCCACTTATCCTACACATGTTTGTAAACTTGTTAAGTCACTATATGGCCTTAAGCAAGCACCAAGAGCTTGGAATGCCAAATTCACAAGCTATCTGTCAGTTATTGGTTTCAAGGCTTCTCTCTTAGATTCTAGTCTTTTTGTGAAAGAAGTGGATCAAGATGTGATTATTTTACTCCTTTATGTAGACGATATTATCATCACAGGATCTAGTACAACCCTTGTTCAATCTGTGATTAATAATCTTGGTGAAGTGTTTTATCTCAAGGACATGGGCCAACTCACATACTTCTTGGGTCTGCAAATTCAATACTAGTCTAATGGGCATATATTTGTGAATCAAGAGAAGTATGTCAAAGATTTACTTCATAAAGCAGCCATGGATAATTGCAAACCTTGTAAACCTCATCATTCTGTTCTTGTTGATGAAGGAGAGTTGTTACCAGAACCAACTCTATACAGGAGCCTTGTTGGGGCCTTACAATACTTGACTTTCACATGTCCAGATATTGCTTTTGTTGTCAACAATGTCTGTCAATTCATGAACACACCCACTGATGTTCATCTTGGTTTGGTAAAACGGATCTTCAGATTTTTGCAGGGTACTATAAAGTGTGGTTTAACTTTTACTTTTGGTTCTGGATTACATCTCAGAGGTTACAGTGACTCAGACTGGGCTGCCGATGTAAATACAAAGAGGTCTATCACAGGGCATGTAGTGTATTTGGGAGATAACCCTATTTCCTGGCAATCCAAGAAGCAAACTTCCGTCTCCCGAAGCTCAACAGAAGCTGAGTACAAGGCTCTTGCACGTGCTGCTGCAGATATGGCTTGGATAAGGCTTATATTGAAGGATGTTAGTGCAATCTTGCCAAGTCCACCTCAGTTGTTTTGTGATAATCAATCAGCCATTGCCTTGAGTTTGAATCCTATACATCATTCCAGGATTAAACATTTGGAAATTGATTTCCATTTTGTTCGAGAGAGAGTGCAGAAAGGAGACCTGGAAGTGTTATATGTCCCTACTCAAGACCAAGTGGCTGATGTTCTTACAAAAGGTTTTCATGGACCTGATTTTCTCAAGCATTGTCACAATCTTAAACTAGGATTTCCCAGTAAAGATTGAGGGGGGGGGTATTGGATATGTAAGACACCTAAGCAATTGCCACATTAGCAAATGCTTAGTGTGAGGGTTGATTTTAACAGAGTGTAGTATAAAAGACTTTTCCCTCTCTCATTGCAACCTGTAAAAACAATTTCTGAGAAATATAAAAGCTTGGGTTTTCGTCTTCATCAAGTTTCTTCATCTTTAGCTTTGATTTTGATTTTTTGGTGTTAATACCAGCTGCCCCACCTTTCATTTTCTTATAATAATATTTATTTTTTTAAGTTTCGAGTCAACACTTGTAATTTACTCTTAATTTAATAGACAACGATGTTAGTGAAAAACTTCAACGGTGTAACACATGGTAGACTTAGAGGATGAGAGCATGTTAGCGTATGAAAATTCGGTTAGCATTCTATTGGGTTTGGTTATGTAAATCCCTGTGGGCTTAGATTTACTTGTACACCAAGTCACTTGACTTGTAAATACAGTTATAATTCTACATGGTATCACTCATAATTCTACATGTATCACTCATAGGTTTTTCTTTCTTGACAAAAACCCTAGTCTTATTCTCTGTTAGTTGTTCCCCTCCTAAACACTTATCTCAAACTTCTTTTTCCTTAAATTTCTTTTTGCCGTGCCTATTCTTACCCATGGCCACTCAGGCCTCTTCTTCTTCTACCACCACTGGACTCACTCTCTCTGGTCCTAATGTTGCACACTTTCTTAAACTCACCAATTCCAAGTATCTTCTTTGGTTTAGCCAAAAGAAGCCATTTCTTTCAAGTCACAATTTATTTGGTTAATTATGTGGATAGCCCAATTCTACATAGTAACTATTACCTCAGTTTAGGGACAAAATATTGCATTAAACTTTCTAAGAATTATCTGGTCTCATATATTATGATAACGTGAGGATGAAGCCACTGAAACGTAGTGTGGCCCCGAAAGTGGACGATAAAACATATTGGGCGACTTTTCTTGCCAAAGTTTATGGACTGATGGCAACAACTGTCTTGGGGATAAAAGCGACGCCGAAAAAGCTGGTTTGCTCAAAATAAATGTGGTGGTTAGCTCGCCCAAAAGTATTCCCACGTCAGCGATCCACTCTAAATTTCTAATTATAGGAAAAATTTTTTGTCAGGAATATTACAATCTAGTAATACTAGCTTATGTACGTAGATGGTGAGTTTGATGTCTGCATATGATTGACTTAAGATGATTTTTAAAAGAGATGCAAAATTATACATGTCACTAATAAAATTTGAAGGCAAATAGAAGTTTCAACCGATATCTCTCTCCTATGTTGATTGACATATTTATTGTGTGGTGCAAATTTTGACATATGAGAAAATGATATGTAAAATTATTTTTTAAATGTTTTGTTGTGTGGGTCGTAGTACTGCATCAATTATAAATCATGAAACTTAGATTTTATTTATTTGTTTTGAAGAGTGGATCCTCAAATATTGATTGAATAAGAAAAACATATGGGTTGGAGCAAAAGAATTTTTGACACTGCCACATAAGCCTTCAAATTTACATTTGACATATTTTTTTTGACATTTCCATTGAAGATGCTTTTAAGTGGCTTAACTAAATCTCCACCCTCTCTGTCTGAATATTGTATTCTCACCAAATAGATAAATGAAAGTTTTATATGAATTTCCGTACTCACGATAATATTAATATTGTACGCGAAATATTTTTTATTACAATAGAAGCAACCGAATCATTTTATGCCTAAGCCTAACCCCGTTTCAAATTTTCTCATCAACCCTCACTAGTTACTTGAGCTAAACTCAAGGGCTTATTGTATCATGATCTTTACTTATCTGTTTTCCCACCATGATATTGCACTTATGTCGAAAACTATGTAGTTGTATAATTTTATCTAGGTTTTATTTGTATCCAGACAAAATACGTGTAGCTCAAGTATTTATCAGCATAAGTTATATATGAAAGTTACATATAAGCACAAAGAATCGTATTATTCATTCATCATTCCATTTCACACATGCATACAGTACACACATTATTAGACAAAATATGCAGCTGACTCAACTACTCTCAGTAACTCCCACACTCCTTCATTGAATGCCAAAATTTAAGATGAAGGATCACTTTCCTCCAAATTAGGTGAGAAACCCATGGCTGCCATTGTCCTCTAAAGAGAAAGAGAGACCGACAGAAAGTTGATAATGTAGGGTTCTGTTCATCTGCATTTCCATTGGAATATAAGGGATATTACACACTTGTAACTTATAAAACTTCCACGTAGGGAGGGATGGCCAACGACCTCTGCTAGCATTAATTATATATTTTGTCTGAGTTTCTCGTTTATATATAAATATATGTACGTATACATGAATGATAAGAGAGAATTGAGAAAGTGAAGGAAAATTAATAGACTGAAACGAAAGAAGAAGAAAAACCAACAGCTTTTTCAGCCTCCCATTTATTTCCCCCTCTTTTTTCTCTTCCTCTCTCGTATTATAAGTCTCATTTCCCTTTTCCTTTCCTTTTATTCATTGCCTCACTCTCCTTCTTCTTGTTCTTGTACGTTCTTCTTCTTCATCATGCACATTGTTGCCAAACCCTAGCCAGCTACATATTGATTTCCCTTCATAATTCTGATCCGGGTTTTCCTTCGTGTTTCGGTTTCGATCCGGGTTTCATGTTCTTGCTTCTCCGTACATTTTTTCTTGATCAGTTGAATTACTTGGGTTAGGGTTAATTATTGTATTAGTGGGAAGGGAAGTGGTTTAGATGGAGGCATCAACGGCTCTAATGATCTTATCAGCCATAGCGGCGTATTTAGTTTGGTTCAAGATGATCTCACGGTCAATGTACGGTCCACGTGTCTGGCCGCTGTTGGGTAGCCTCCCGGGTCTCATACAGAACGTGAACCGGATGCACGACTGGATCGCCGACAATCTCCGCCAGTGCGGCGGCACGTACCAGACCTGCACCTGCGCCATTCCATTCCTGGCGCGCAAGCAAGGGCTCGTGACTGTCACCTGCGACCCCAAGAACTTGGAGCACATTTTGAAGACTCGGTTTGATAATTACCCCAAGGGTCCAACCTGGCAAGCTGTGTTCCATGATCTGCTTGGCGATGGGATCTTCAACAGTGATGGTGACACGTGGCTGTTCCAGCGTAAGACGGCGGCACTGGAATTCACCACCCGAACGCTCCGCCAAGCCATGGCTCGGTGGGTGAGCCGAGCCATCGAGCTTAGGTTTTGCCCAGTTCTTGAGGCGGCTCAAAACGAAGCCAAGCCGGTTGATCTTCAAGACCTCTTGCTTCGGCTCACTTTCGATAACATATGCGGATTGGCATTCGGGAAGGATCCACAAACGCTAGCTCTGGGCCTTCCCGAAAACGACTTCGCGAATGCTTTCGATCGAGCCACCGAAGCCACGTTGCAACGCTTCATCTTGCCCGAAATCATATGGAAAATAAAAAAATGGCTTGGGCTCGGAATGGAAGTCAGCTTGAACCATAGCCTCCATCACATTGATAAATACCTATCCGGTATCATCAACGCGCGTAAGCTCGAGTTGGCAAGCCAACAACAAGGTCGTGGCAATGGGACCCCACATGATGACTTGCTGTCTCGGTTCATGAAGAAAAAGTCCTACTCGGACAAATTCCTTCAAGAGGTAGCACTCAATTTCATCCTAGCTGGACGTGACACGTCATCGGTTGCGCTGAGTTGGTTCTTTTGGTTGGTGATTCAAAACCCACAAGTGGAGGAGAAAATCCTCTCTGAAATTTGCACCGTTCTGATGGAGACACGTGGCAGTGATACTTCCAAATGGGTGAAAGAGCCCCTATTCTTTGAAGAAGTTGATCGATTGACATACCTTAAGGCAACATTGTCCGAGACCCTAAGGCTTTACCCTTCTGTGCCACAAGACTCCAAGCACACAATCAATGACGACGTTTTGCCGAGTGGGACGTTTGTTCCGGCAGGCTCTTCAGTCACATATTCGATTTACGGGATCGGTCGCATGAAGTTCATTTGGGGTGAAGATTGCCTAGAATTTAAGCCGGAGAGGTGGTTGTCTTTGGATGGCAAAAAAATGGAGGTACAAGATTCTTACAAGTTTGTTTCTTTCAATGCCGGTCCAAGAATTTGTTTGGGCAAGGATTTAGCTTACTTGCAAATGAAGTCGATTGCGGCGGCCGTGTTGCTAAGGCACCGGCTCGTGGTGGTGCCGGGCCACCGGGTGGAGCAGAAGATGTCGTTGACTTTGTTCATGAAGTATGGCCTCAGGGTTAACGTGCACCCTAGGGATTTGATGCCTATTTTGGCAAAAATAGGCAACGGGGACCAATGGGGAAAAGATGTTGAGATTGTGGTTTGAGAGGGCTGGCATATGAATATGGTGGACCTTATATTTAATTAAGGTCACTGTCACATATAGCTCTTATAGTTTATAATATTAATTATATCTTATAGTATTAGTATATAAAGGAGAAAAAAAAAGTGAAGAAATTAAGGCAGTTAATTGTGGACCTTATATTTTGAGTGATTCTATATTATTGGAGAGTGACTTGAATCAAAATAATGTTTGTAGTGGTATTGTTAGCAAATAAATCACAATTTACTTTTTTGGTCAATTTGTATATAACCATTACATTATTATATATGTGTAGTTAATTAGATAAGTGTGATTTAATCTACTAAATACTCATATTGTAGACGAATGTGATGATAATGCTATCACGTGACCAAGTAGTGATATATTTTCACTTTTTATGTGTCGTTTACATTTAAGTGGCCAAACTATTCTTGAAAATTTTAATTTTTGTGCTTAATTGCTCTGGTAGGTAATATTAACATGATGACTGAAATTTTTCTGGTAGGACATATTAACATGATGATTTAGACAGAACCTCCTCAGTTGTGCTTCATGGAAATTTTATACAAAGTCATGAAATGGCAAAAATGGGTATTTTACAGAGAGTCTGACAAAGTTAATTAACATAATGTTGGGGCTTAAAAAGACTTCACTACTTTGGAGATGTTTACCTCACAAAGAAGAATGTAATGCAGCAGAATTGATAGGCAAGAGAAAGAAAGAACACTCAATGTATTACACAAGATTTTTATTCACTCACAAACATAGTACAAGAGGAAACACTCAAACACTCTTAGAAGCTTTGTTGCTTTTTCTCACTTCTCACTACTTGCTCTCTTGGTTATTACAAATGGTGTGGATGCCTTCTCCTTTTATAGGCATGGATGGAACCTTGGAGAAGCATGGAAACATCATGCTAGATATATCTAGATAATTCCACTACCTTCCTATGCTAGAATTATCTACACTAATCTTGTATGTTGGTGGAATCCTCACCATTCTTCTAGACTCTTCCACCAACTTGGACTTTGCTAGAATTCTCTAGCATGTGCATGGATCTTTCTTTGTGCATGGGCTAGATCCATTATCTTTGGGCCAAGACAAGATTACAATTCAACATCCCCCCTTAATCTTGTCTTGTGACGCTGATTGATTTCCTCAATCTAACAAAGTCTTCTTGTTTGAGTGGCTTGGTGAATATGTTGGTGACTTGATCTTGAGACTTCACGTATTCCACTTGCACATCCTTTCTTACAATACACTCTCTTATGTAATGATAGCGGGTATCTATGTGTTTGCTCTTGTCATGGAATACTGGATTCTTTGCTAGAGCTATTGCAGACTTGTTGTCGACATAGATCTCTGTTGGCTCTTCTCGTGGCATGCTTAATTCTTTTAGCAAGTTTCTCAGCCAGATTGCATGACAGACACATGAGGTAGCAGCTACGTATTCAGCTTCGCAGGTAGAGAGAGTGACAATCGGTTGCTTCTTCGACATCCATGTGAATGCAGTGTCTCCCATGAAGAACACAAATTCAGTAGTGCTTTTTCTATCGTCGGAATCTCCTGCCCAATCACTGTCGCTATACCCAACAAGTTTGTAGTTATCAGAACTTGAATAGAACAAGCCAAAGTTAACAGTACCCTTAAGGTATCGAAGAATTCTTTTGGCTGTCTTCAAATGTGTAGTTGTGGGATTCTCCATGTAGCGACTGACTAATCCGACGGCATAGAGAATGTTTGGTCTTGTGCATGTCAAGTAATGCAAGCTTCCAACTAAACTCTTGAAAAATGTTGGATCTACGTTTTCTCCTTTGTCATGATTGGTTAGTTTGACTCCGCACTCCACTAGCGTGCTTATGGGCTTGCAGTTGTCCATTTTGAACTTTTTCAGTATCTCATTTGTGTAGCTTTCTTGGGAGATGAAAATGCCTTCTTCGTTCTGCTTGACTTCAATGCCTAGGTAGTATGCCATCACCCCGATGCCGGTCATCTCGAATTCTTTGGTCATCACTCTCTTGAACTCTTCATACATGCTTGGATTACTTCCGGTGAAGATTAGATCATCCACATATAAGCACACAATTAGAATATCTCCATCTTTGACTTTGACTTAAATAGCATGTTCATAAGGGCACTTAATGAAGTTGTTTTCTTGGAAGTACTTGTCGATGCAACTATTCCATGCCCGTGGCGCTTGTTTTAACCCATAGAGGGCTTTCTTCAGCTTCAGAACTTTGTCTTCATACCCTTTGATTTCATAGCCTGATGGTTGCTGAATGTAGACTTCTTCTTCAAGGACTCTATTTAGGAAAGCGGACTTCACATCCATTTGTTGAATCTTCCATTTGTTTTAAGCTGCCAAAGAAATTAGTAATCGTATAGTTTCCAACCGAACAACGGGTGCAAATACCTCATCATAGTCGATTCCGGCACTTTGACTATAGCCTTTCGCCACTAATCTCGCCTTGTATCTTTCGACCTCTCCGTTGGCATTCTTCTTTGTCTTATACACCCACTTGACTCCGATGGCTTTGTGTCCTTTCGGAAGAATAGCGAGTTCCCATGTATCGTTCTTCTGGATTGCTTCAATTTCTTCATCCATTGCTTTCCTCCACTTAGTATCTTGCACTGCTTCTTGGAAGTCAATTGGTTCACAATCAGCAAAGAAACAGAAAAGTGTAGGATTATCAAGTCTTTTAGCTACCTCATAGAGATCTCGTAGACTTCTTGTGCGTGGTACTTCTCTTTCATTTAGACTCCCACTTGATGATGCTGGTGAATTACCATGATTGGTTGATGTTGGTGAAGCAGGTGGAGTAGTGGATTCTTGTTGAACCTCTCTTGCTTGCTCCATCATCCCTTGTTCATTCTCTTCTTCAAACTGAGGAAAGAAGTGAAGATCACCTGCATGAGAGCCAAAATCCCATTCTCCTTCTTCATCGAACGTCACATCTCGACTAATCACCGTCTTCCCATTGTTTGGTTTATACAGTTTATAACCTTTTGAATTTGAGTCATAGCCGATGAAGATGAACTTTTCACTTTTATCGTCGAGTTTGGTTCTCCTCTCGTCTGGTACATGTACATGGGCTATGCTTAAAAAAAATCTTAGATGAGAGATACCTGGTTTTCTTCCACTCCATGCTTCTTGCGGAGTCTTTCCCCACACACTTCTTGTTGGAGACTGATTGGATAGGTAGACAGCACATGCTACAGCTTCTGCCCATAACTCCTTAGGCAATCTCTTACTTTTGAGCATGCTTCGAGCCATGTCGAGGATGGTTCGATTTTTTCTTTCCACCACACCATTTTGTTGAGGGGATCTTGGAACTGTCAAAGGTCGGCGAATTCCATTGGCTTCACAAAATTCTTGAAATTCCTTCGAAGTGAATTCTCTTCCTCAATCAGATCTCATGGCTTTGATCTTGCAACCACTTTCTTTCTCTACAATAGCTTTGAACTTCTTGAATGCTCCAATTACCTCTGATTTATGCTTCAAGAAATATACCCAGGTTTTCCTTGAAAAATCATCAATGAAGAGAAAGAAATAATTATTTTTACCCAAAGAGCTTGGTTTTATTGGACCGCACACATCGGTGTGAATGAGCTCGAGTGGCTTCTGGGCTCTTATGGTCGACTCCTTTGGAAAGCTTTTCCTGAACTGTTTCCCAAGTAAACATCATTCGCAAGCTTGATCAGGGCGACTGATGCATGGTAAGCCTCTCACCATCTCCTTCTTGGACAATAACTCTAGTCCCCCAAAGTTAAGATGCCCAAAACGAAGATGCCAAAGCCATGATGTGTCTTTGTAACATGTTTTGAGGCACTTTGCAACATCATTTTGAATATTCAAGGGAAACATCCTATTCTTTGACATTTTCACCTTGGCAATTAATCTTCCTTTGTCATCTCTAAGAAAAAGGCTATAATTTTTCTTGTGAATATTGTTTGTACCATACTTGACCAATCCCGAAACTACCGAGCACCGGCCAACGCTATACTGTCAAGGACCCAGAAGAGTTCCCCTCCGACCAGGAGGCCAATCACTACTCGACACGTGTCAAGATTAGAAGCCAATCAGAGCGCAGCACGTGTCAACATCAAGAACCAATCATAACATGACACATGTCAATGTGACAAAGCTACAAGTTTTTCTATAAATAGGGGTCATCCCCCCACAATATGGCCTAATGCCATTTGTGTTAAATCATTCACAAGAACTCACTAAATTGAGAGCTTGATCCTTTGTACTTGTGTAAGCCCTTCACTACTAATAAGAACTCCTCTACTCCGTGGACGTAGCCAATCTGGGTGAACCACGTACATCCTGTGTTTGCTTCTCTGTCTCTATTCATTTACGTACTTATCCTCACTAGTGACCGAAGCAACCAAGCGAAGGTCATAAAACCTGACACTTTCTGTTGTACCAAAGTCTTCGCTGATTTTGTGCATCAACAAATATCATAACCTTTTTCTAAGAGTTGTCCTAAGCTTAAAATGTTGCTTTTCATATTGGGCACTTAGTAGACATTTGAAATTAATTGGTGACCGCCATTTTTCAGGGGAATTAGGATGTTACCTTTTCCTTTGACGGGTATTTTGGATTCGTCTCCAAAAGAAACGTTGCCACTCACTGATTCATTGAGCTTTACGAACATGCTTCTTTTTCCGCACATGTGGTTGCTGGTGCCGGTGTCAAGGTACCATGTATAGTCTTGGTCTCCATCATTGTTCTTGCATGCTAGTAGCACAACACCATTATCTTCTTTCTCTTCTTTCACATAATTGACCTTCTCATCAAGCTTGTTGCTTGAAGCTCTACATTCCCAAGCATAATGCCCAAACTTTTGACAATTGTAGCATTGAACTTGAGATTTTTCATACCTCAAGTTTGAGCGTCCTCTTCCACGACCTTTTGTTGAGCTTCCTCCTCCTTCGTAGTTGCTATGGTTGTTGAAGTTCAAACCACGTCCACGTCCATGTCCACGACCGCGACTTCTTTTGTACTTGCTTCTCTTGTTGTCCAAGCTTTCTTCTTTCTTCTTTGGCTGGACATGTGTCTTGAGGAGCTGCTCATCATTCCTTTGCCTCTTCTTACGTTTCTCTTCATATGCTTGTAGCGAACCCATTAATTGCTCTATACTAATTTCTTCCAAGTTTTTAGTTTCTTCAATCGTCATGTGCTTGAACTTGGGGTCCAACGAGCGTAGTATTTTCTCCGTAATTCTAACATCTTCTAACTTTTCTCCGTTTCTTTTTAATTGATTGGAAGCGGCTAGGACTCTTGAG